ATAACCTATGTAATGCTAACCTCTATCGAGCCATAAAACATACTTATCACCACAGGAAGTTTCTTCTTGACTTTTTCAGTCAATCTCCACCCTCATGTCTCCAAAGGAAACTATTGTTTAGACTTTTTCATCACAGATAAGTTTTGCTTTTTCTAGAATAGCACTGTCAAATAGAAATATAATGTGAGTCAAAAGTAGGGTCACATGTATAATTGAAAATTGCCCATTAGCCATATTACAAAAATTAAAAGAAAGAGGTGACTATTTTAAATAATGTATTTTATTTAATTCAATATATCCAAAATATGATCATTTTCAACATATAATCAGTATAAATATTATGAATGAGATATTTTACATTTTTGTTTATTGTGTCTTTGAAATCTAGTGTGTAATTTACATAGTACATCTCAATTTGAACTATCCTGTATCAAGTGCTCAGTAGCCATTTGTAGCTAGTAACTACCATATTGGACAATGCAGTTCTAGAATATGATATAAATATGATCATAAAATAATTTCTTTTTGTCTAAGGATTTTTTACTCAGCATGATGTTTGAAAAATTTTAAGATTAGTTCATGCATTACTTTAATAAAAACAAAAATTAAATTACAAACTGAAACAAAATGGAAATAAAATGCTCAACAAGAGTAATATAGAGGAGTAGAGGAAAGAAATTGCACTTAAATAATTCTACCGTTCAGTCCTTGTATTATGAAAGAGGAGACTAGACATGATACTTTATCCTTTACATTATGTGTCATAAAATATCTTAGTATTTTAAGGGTAATCACTAAAAGAATAGAATTTGAAAGTGTTTGGGGTATTTAATCTTCCAGTCCCCTAGGCTTTGCTTATTTCCCAAGGTCATGGATTGTTAGTTTCTTTCTCATGGCTACAAGGGCATGCCAGATTCCAAAAACGGTTCCCTCCCCTTCCCCCTTCAAGCCTAAGAGTGGTTGTGGCTTTCTATAGTTGTGAGTCCCTGGGTGCTTTGCCATCTCTTTTGACCACTTAATCCTACCCACTCCTTAGTAAATAGGACCTTCATGAAAGTTTCTTTACTCACCCTTTATGAGAATGCCATCTCCTTCCTGCCAGGACCATGATCAATACAATCACATACCTGTGATTGACAACCCACTTCTGAGTTCTTTGCAAACTCTCAGGACCCTATTTGTACTATTACTGACCTGTACCTATACTGTTCCTTTGGTTTCAGGCTTCAAATTATTGGCTCTATTTCCCTCTTATTTATGGTCCTACTCCTAACCTTTGTATTTAATGTTTGTATTTGGTCTTCTCAGGTTGGAGTCTTCCCTCTCCCCAGAAGACTTTGTCTTTGACTCAGTCTTCTTCCCCTGCTACCAGTATCTCCAGGCAATCTGCCTCAACTTGAGCACCATTAAATTAAACCTGATCTTCTTTCCTAACCTGCTTGACAAATGACTAACCCTCCAAAAACAGAGAGAAACAATATTTGTGCATATTCTATGTTATATTATTGTCATTCTTTCTTCAATCTACTCTACAACCCCTCCCTGGGCTATCTCATCCACTAACACCTCTTAAATTTATGTCTCCAGCTCTAACTTCTCTTGTGAGCTCCAGACCCATCCTTCAGCTGCCTATTCAACATCTGCACTTGGATGTCTTAGAGGCACATTAAGCTACACATGTCCAAAACGAAATTCATCTCCCCCTTGATCTGATTTTCCTCCAGTGTTCTATGTCTCAGTAAAAATAGCCTATTTCTGTCCTGTATTTAGACTCATAGACAGAGAATACAGACTTGTGGTTGCCAGGGGGGTGGAGGGTGGGAAGGGATAGACTGGGATTTCAAAATTGTAGAATAGATAAACAAGATTACACTGTATAGCACAGGGAAATATACACAAAATGTTATGATAACTCACAGAGAAAAAAATGTGACAATGAGTGTGTATATGTCCATGAATGGCTGAAAAATTGTGCTGAACACTGGAATTTGACACAACATTGTAAAGTGATTATAAATCAATAAAAAATGTTAAAAAAAAAAGAGGTGGTACTGGGGATTGAACCCAGGACCTTGTGTATGCTAAGCACACACTCAAAAAAAAAAAAAAGAGCCACCAGACCCTTGTTCAAACCAGAATCCAGTAAATCATTCTAGATTCTACTTTCTCACTTACCCTAATTACCTAAGTCATGAAGTAATGCTAATTTTATCTTCTAAATCTATCTCAGATTATTTATTTCTCTTTATCCCTACCCACCACCACTCAGCGGATGGTGCTAAGTCTAAGGTACTATCATTTTTCTCCTGAATCACTGCCGTAGCCTCTCAACTGGTTTTCCTGCATTTACTCTTGCCCCTCTTCAATCCATCCTCCACACTGCTGCCAGAGTTCTCTTCTTGTCTATGCTTAAAATAGAGTTAAAAATCTATTACATTGCCCACAAGGCCCTGCATGTTCTTGTCCTTGTCAACCTTTCCAGCCTTCTGGAGACTTCTTACTCATTGTGCTTTTTCAAGTATTCCAAGTTTATTTGACCTCAGAATCTTTGCACATGCTGTTCTCTCTATGGAATGTTTGCTCTATTCTCTCCTTTTATTCATCCATTAGATTTTAGCTTAGATTATCATCTCAGTAAAGTCTTCCTTGACACTCTAGGCCAGGCTAGGCAGCCTTGCCTCCACTTTATATGTACCCAAGCGGCCTATACTTCTCCTTTATAACACAGTATTCTTGTAATTATCTGATCAGTGATGTCCATCCCAGTAGGTTATAATTTTCACCAGGGCATAGAATGTGTCCAGTTTTCACTTCTAGCACACATAGTAGGTGATGAATAAATGTTGAAAGAACGACTGAATGAATTTAGGCACTTATCATCTTTGCCAGATTGTAAACTTTATGTTTGCCAACTTATAAAGAGATCCCCACAGAGTCTAGTCAGTACTCTGTGTAATCTGTCTCTCTTATGCTCCCCTGTGTTTATGTGTGATTTAATCAATTAATACTTGGTGTGGAAAATAAATTGAAATTCCTCGAATTGCTCAAGTTATTCTTCAAAACATCCTCACCTGTATTTATTATGTGCGTTTCCTTTTCCTATTCTACATGTTCCACATTTTTGTCTCCTTTTTCTGCAAGTATAACAATTCATTCTTTGTGACTAGAGGAAGCTTCTCTATCCTGTAATTCTCTCCCCTTTAATGCCATTGCATTTATTAAAGAGCACAAATGAAATAGCTGTGTACACTTAAAGCACTATACAATTTTAAATAAGAACACTGTTTTTACTATTTTAAGAGGAGGTGTTCTCATTTCTAGGAGGGGAGAGATCATAAACATGTATCTGAAGAACTGGCATTGACTGTGAACATTAAGTCAAATGATCAGAGGATTGGGATTTGAATTGTGGGTTGATAATCCATCTATATTTCTGCCTCTTCCCTTCCTCTATGTAAATTAAAGCTGCAGGATCTGTCTTTGCATAAAACTTCCTTATAATCTGTTAAATATGTGTTGTTGTGGCTATAAAATGATTTTACGAGATGGCAGAATTCTGCTTATTTGTTCTGAATTTGGGCACAGGGAGTTAATCTCCTATAGAGCTCAATAATTGTTTGTACAGCTTAGAGTGTTATGGAATGAATAACTTTGGAATATCTACTCCATGTTCAGAAAGCAAAGCACTTTTTTTTAATCAGGTGCTTATTTATTCACTTGGATTTCAATACCTCACTTATTATGGTTACC